TACCGCGCGAATGTATATCTTTCGAATGGAGCGACGCCCCCCTCCCCCGCGCGATTATAATATTTGCGATGGACGGTGAAATAGCCAGCTCGATGTCGATTAGCGAGCGGACTCTTGACGCGGCCGACCATTATTGCCATCGAATTACCGTGCCGCGGCCGCCGCGCCGAAATTGCGCGCGGGACTCGATAATTTTCGAGTGGGGCGCTTTAATGAGAGCATTATGAAACGCCGCGGGACCCGGCGAACACGAGTGCCAGACACTTTTCGCGGCGAGACGCGCTTTCTGCCTGGTAACCCCTTCCGCCGATACCGCCCCCGCGGTCCCGATCTTATTTCACAACCCGGCGACCCCGAATACGCGCCTAACAGGCTTTCCCGCGTTCCCTTTCAATATGCCAAGTGCCTATAAAATCGCGCTAAGAGCGATACTTCTTTCGGCATTAAGATCCGAATCCTCCCCCGTGTCCCGGAAACGCCTCGGATGCGTCCCCTCGGCTGGGAACGTTTCATTTTACGTTTGCAGCTTGTTTTCCATCCGCGGGGAACTTATTTCCTGCGCTCGTGCACGCCGTATCGAGAAAACTCGAGGACGTCTGAGCGCATATGCGACCGAGGGAAGAGGAAGCTCCGTGCATACGTTAGCTTCCACGGTTTCCGATGAGTTCCGTTGATACCTTGTTCCGGCGAATCGATTCGTTCCGATAGAAGAATGAAATATTTCTGAAGGTATTCGAAATTAACGAGGACGGTGAGTGGAGAATGCTTCTCGGGGAATGCAGCGAAACGGAGGGTCGAATTAAAAGTTGTATGAATTTTCGGCTCGGTCTCGGGCTCCTCGAGCAAACAATCGAAGGAATTAGATTGTACTCAATTTGAGTTTGTCTGAACATCGCTGCGAGTTTAGAGAAACATCGCTACCAGTCGAATGTCCATGTAGACGCTACGTAATTGGCAGGCTGGCAGTCGAAGACCTCTCGTGCCGGTCGAGTCTCACGAATTCTCATTAGCTTCTCCCACAAACCTCAAGTTCACTCGGTAAAGCTACACCATCATTACGACCACACGCTGTACTGGGTGATCCCGAAATCGCCGGTGCGGATAAGATAATATCTTTCGCTGGGTCAAGTCGAGTATATGATATGAAATTTTCTTCTCTCATTTTTCCCATCTTTGAACGGATTAACTTCAAAACCCTATTCTTCGAATGTTAACCCTTTGCACTCGGGTGTTTACTAGAAATATTTAACATTCCTTTACGAGGCTAAGAGGATGTTCTTTGAGACTAATTCGAAGAGAAATCACCAGTACATTGAGGAACAAAGCTGTTTTGTTCCAATGTTTCACGTATCGAGGCATTATACAAAGTTTAACGTTAAATATCACATTCTACAATTTTACTGTGTCAAATTAAGTGGTCACTGAGAGTCACCTATCGAGTGCAAAGGGTTAATGGATAGAATAAGTAGAAAAGGCAGGTTATGGACAGACTTGTCGACCGATCTCTGTAAAGCAGCTATTTTCAAACTCTTTCGACTGCCAATAAATACAGTATTTATTTTTAATTCTGGATTAATATGTATGTGTGTTAACGTGACCCACATTAAATCGAAATTACGAAACAAACTCCTCTTTTATGAGTCTACATTTCGGAGCATATCAATTTGAAAAATGCACCCTTTACATCCTCGGCCGCGATAAGTAGAGGTGGAACATCGCATCAATCACGTCCTACAAAACAGCTATTTCGAAAGTTTTTTTGACAGGGATCCACTGCGCAATTTATTTTACACTGCGAGCCGGCGCGCATTCGTTAACATTTATACGAATCATTTTATTCGTTTAATCAATATTGACAGCAGCCCGTAACGTTTCTGGATGACCGCATTTAAGTTTTATACCATAAGCATTTCAAAGTATATTCAAAATATATCCGCTATATTTTTCTGTTCGCCGTGACCCGTTTTATTTATTTCACGTCCCAGTAAAGGTTCACGACCCGCAATTTCGTAAACCCGGGCTACAGAATTTTATACGTACGTGACGAACATTCGTATTCGACTTCCGAAAAAACCCAGACGTTATTATCAGCCGTGGCAATGATAAACTCATTCTATCCTATCAATCTCAAAACTCCTCCTCCGCAATCATAATGACACACGCAATGATCGAATAACAGACAACTCGACGAAACTCGATTCGACCCGAAGCCCGTTTCAAAATAAGACTCGCCCCGGCCCGGCGAACATTATCATCACCGACCCAAAATCCCATAACCGTTTTTTTCCTCTCATTTGCATAACGAATCACCGGCCTTTCAATTGCGCCGCGATTCCCGGATTACCACGGCGGTATTAACAATGCATTACACGATCCATTCGTTGTCGCGAATTTGTCGGGCAACGCGATCGTCGCCGGTCACCCCGCGCGCGCCGATTTTATTTCACCGCGACTAATAATGGGCCGCGGCAAAACACGAGTGTCGGGCTCTTTGCAATGCAAACGAAACGCGCGCGTGCTCTCTCGCTCGCTGGTTGCGTAAATAAAATTCTCCACGTGTGCCGGCGCATAAATCATGCGAGCGGTTTAATGCGCAGCCCGATGATGCGGATGACGGTAAATATTTCGGGCGTTAGGTGGCCCCCGGGGCGACGCCATGGACACCTAGGTAACAAACTACGCTGTATGAGCACCGTGTAACATTTAACCGGGGCAATAAAGCACAAACCGGGGGCGTTCGTGTCTCTCGCGCGCACCGTGAAATCTCGTTTCGCATAACTCCTGGCGGCACTCTCTTCGCCAGGTGTTACTTCTGCTTATCCCACGCATTGATTTGTTTCCTAGACAAGCTTAACGATCTAGACGCGCGCCACCGGCTCCTCTCGTTAATTTCCCCGATCCGTTCTTAGGGCGCGGCGAAACGCGGAGCGCGGTCTCTCGAACGTGGAATGAAAATTGATGACGAGTGGATGGGAAGTTTCTCCCGTTCTTTGTAACGCCGGCTGAGTCTCGGTTCAATGTGAACCGTGGACGTAAATTAATGTGCTTTTGAAATTGTATTTTCTTGCGGAGGCGAAGGCCCGAGGACGATTTTGAGAATGTCAGGGGAGTCTGCTCTTGGGTATGGAATTTATTCGCGAGGCAGGGTGAAGTGGAAATTTTAATCAACAATGATCCCCGTGATCGATACCGGCACGGAAATAGGATTTCTGTTTAAAGGTTTTCATCCCCGACGGTTGCACGGTTAGAGGAGACAGCCGTCGTTGGATCGATGAAGTAGAATGTTTGGTGCAACAAGCGGACGCATTAAGTAGATTGAGCCCTGATCGTCTCGGAAACGGAACCACCGGCGTTTTCTAGTTGCCGGTACACGGGGAATCATTCACCCTTTGATTGTGCTATCCATTACGCGCGTCTTGGGGAAGGTTCCGGGGAAATCCGGTGGACTTGTGATTAATTCTTCTAATCTGAATACTGTGGAGTAGCGGAGGCACTGTTCGTTTTAAAATTGAAATGTAACGGTATCGAATATTTAAGACGCCGTTCGTTGAAACGTTTAGAATAGTATTAGATGTAATTATATCGATATCTTCAGTAGAAAATTAGAAATATTTTACAAATGAATGTAATGCTGTAGCGGCTAGCAAGCACGACATGAAGAAACATTTGACGTGCAAAGAGCTAGTATGGTTTATGACAAGCAGGTCAGTCATAGTGAGTCATAGACGTAGTTAGTCATAGACAGTAATAGTCACGGGCAGAATGATCTGTTAATATTAGAACTACCGAGCATTTAATACGATTAATATGGAATTCCTATGAAAATTGTAACAATAGATTATTTTCAGTTTCTTCAGGCATTCATTATAGTACTGAAATGAAACTATTTATTTTCACAATCATTTCGAATATTCAATGCTTCGAAGATATCAATAATCGCTAAACAAAAAAATCGAAACCAGCTTTTTTGACTGGTACGGTAGTTAATAACCAATCTCGCCAAAATGCTCTCAATATTTCACGTATTCATATAAATATCGAATACAATAATACTGTTATAATACTCATTAGAAAAATAATAAATAATTGCAAAAGCCGACGGTGTTCGCTACAAAAATAACAGAATTCGACACATCCTGTGTCCGCGATATTATTTACAACGGATTTTCGATTTCGACACCGCCGGGATTGTATATTTATGGTAACAGACGTGATTTCCGGTGCAGCGAGCAAAAGCCAGATGTATATTTGACGAAATTCGTGGACCAAGGGTTGAATAATTCTTTGGAGACGGTGGAAGTAGGTTAAGTGTGCGTCAGATTCTCTGCATGGGTCACCGAGTCAAAATTCTGTTTTTCCCGAGTGCTCGGTGCCGCGGCTCGAAGCCAAAGCCAGAGTTTATTGAGTGTCGAACCGATAGGTCCCGAGGTTCGCGTGAATGGAATCCCTTTTAGATTATGCGCCCGCAAGGGCCGCGTGGATTTAAGCACTATTTTATAGGCGGCAGCCATTTCGAAAATCAGGCTCCGGAACGCTGCGGTGGGGAGAGAACGAATCCATCGGCGACCTGGATAGCTCAATTCGTTAGAGTAGTCGTTCGGCAAACAAAAGGGCTGCTTCCAGGTCCAGCAATCGGGTTTCTTTCTCGGTATAGATTTGGAAGAATTTATTGAGCACGTCTGCGCGGGTTGTTGCGGCTCCCACGAAGACAGTCGAATCGGATTGAAAGAATCCCCTACTCTGTTCCCGATTTCCTGTAATCAGTTTTACATTAGCTCTTTTAACGATACGTTCGAAAGAACCGTACGAATTGTGTAAAGAGAACGTAATGCCTTCTCGTTGGAACATTATCGAATGAAATTTAAATACGAATATAAAATCTGTAATATGAATCGTCTTCAAATATTATCATTAGAACCACGACGTTCCAAATCGTGGATTCCTCTCAAGAATCTTCCTATCCAGAGATCAATCCTCGATTCCAAATAGCTTCGATTCAAATCAGCCATAAATTAGGCTGACGTCGAATCCGTGTTAGATTCGAGACAGATATTAACTAGGCGCGGATCATTAGCATATAATTTGATTAAACCAAGCATCTCGTTCCCGTCCCATCAGGTATTCATGCGGGGCGGAATTATTCATCGGGAAATAACTGACACCACGCGTCTTAATAACTCAACAGGTCCGCAAAAATCCGCCAGCCGCCGCGAAATTGTTTAATTCCCGAGCAGTTTAATTCGAAAAGAACCTCGGCGGAGCTGGCGGAGTTATTCGCAGCAATCAAGGGTCCGCCTGCAGCCAGCCAGACAGCCAGACAGCCAGCCAACCAGCCAGCCGACCGCGCCGCGATTTACCGTGCCCGTCCCCGAACATCGATGTAACTGAATTTAATCTATCCGCGCAGCGGGGTCGTCGCCTGCGGAGTCACTTGTTCAATTTCGCGGCATAGGGAGACGGTATCGCTCATGCAAATTTCGAACGCGCTTCCGCGGCGATTTCCATGGGAAGCGTGACTAACAAAACATCGAGCGCGAATTCAATAACCGCGGAGGATGCGTTTATAATTCACCCCCCGCCCGCCCTCCTCCCGCCGGCGCGTTATGCAATTTATCAGGTCGCGTGCTCGCAAAAAGCGTCGGCCGTTACGTTAAGAAGGACGAGCGAAATGGCAAACGAGAGCGAAAA